GCCCCACCCAAATGTATTAAAAAAACAAAACATGTGGCCCCCACCCCTTTGTGTCTCACCTGGCAGGGGCCTGCTTCGTAATGCAAGCTCTGCTCATCACCCAATTTCATGTGGTTGTGCTCGTACTGGTAAACAGTTGCTCTCACTCTTATCCTCTTTCAACGATCGAAAATCACCCAATTTTAAAGGAAAACGGATTAAAAAAAACATAGTTTCCATCCCTTTTCTCAATTTACACCCCGACTATCCTCAAAGTCATATGTGAGAGTTGGAGGAGATTACTGGTATCAAGAAGATGGCAAGTTCAAATGAGTGGAGAGCCCATTTGGCGACAGCGATGGTGATGGTGTTGTATGGAGGTTACCATGTTATCACTAAAGTCGCACTCAACGTGGGCGTCAATCAGGTCGTTTTCTGTCTCATCCGGAACCTCGTTGCCTTCTTCGTCCTGGCTCCCGTCGCCTACTTTCGCGAGAGGTCAGCCCCTCATCCCTCTCTCTCTTGGATATGTACAAACCTTAATATTATTCGTCACTCTTTGGCTCAAAGTTTCATGAAGAAACCTAGTTCATTATATATACAAGTTTGGAGTGTGCTTTTCTCGGTGTTCTTAAATCTTAATCAAGTGAAAACCCCCAAAATCTGTAAAACATCTGTCAATAGTGGGCTTGGCCAATTTCAATCCTACAATCAAGTTTGTTAACTAAAATAATTTCAGTAAGTTGTATGATGTTGTTGTTGGTCTTTTTTGACAAAACATAGTACCTTGCTGCTGTTCTGGCTTCCATATGTGGTTGGACTAAGTTAACCTCGACTGCCTAACTGCATTGCCTTAACACGAGTATTGCCTCCTTGGCTCGAGAATGGGATGAATGATACTTACAATAATTCCTATCTTTATCCAATTAATATTATATTTTTCTCATTTTGAGCGTCCTTGATCTTAATTTAATTTGCAATTTCGAACTTTCAAGTATTGGTTAAGTTCATAAATTTTTCACCATTATGCAAGTAAGAATAACGGACAACAGGTTCCTTGGAAGGGGACCTAAAAACTTAGAATGATCCCAGCTCCCAGGAATTGATGAGTAGTCGCACTTTCCTATTCAGAAAATTCTTATTAGTCATATATCTTTTATATGATTCTTTGAAAATCATATTGAAACAAGATAATTAAAAAGGAAGTCATATGTTTATACCACGATCACCAAGATATATCTATATTTGAAATACTAATTAAATTTTAGAACAATTTGATTCTATATTGATGATGAACAATTGAGATTACATAGGTTTATATACACAAGTAATAGCCTATTTTATGAAACTATATATTCAGTCTAATAATTCTAGGATAAATCAAATCACTACAATCAAGGGCCAAATACAAAATTACCGGAAATGCAATTTCCTTAGATAGGAAATTAATATGCAAAAATTTCAATGCTCCCTCTCAAGCTGGCTCGAAAATGTTTTCCATTCCCAGCTTGCTTAGAATGGACTGAAAGAAGGAGCTTGACACCCTTTGGTAAGGGTATTCGTAAGTTGATTTCTTGAAACAATATAAGGAATACAAATCTCTCCATTTTCTAGCTTTTATTTTTATTTTTATTTTTAATGAAGTGTGGGTCAATCTCCACCCGTTTAGTTCGATTATGGTGGACGGGATTGTGTGGAATGCTTATTACTTGAGAAGAAACAAGTCCAGCCATGGGGTTAGTAGTCCCTGAATCAATGATCCAGGGGTAAGAATAACAAGTTGGAAAAACGCTTGAACCTTAAGATATATCATCTGACTGAACACAGGAACAAGTGGAAAATGTAGTTTTCCATTTTATTAAAAGAAGCCGAGGTTTAGGATGACCAGCAATAGTGGCAATAAAGGCTTCCCTATGATTGATTGACTAATTGATAGAGGCACCCATGGAAATAAAGTCTGGTGACCGTATAGGGCCATGAAGGTCACCAGAAAAAGAACTCCCAGGAATTCTAGGTGAACTCTCATACCATGTAGAGCAATTTGATTCTATATTAATAATGAAAAATTGAGATTACATAGGTTTATATAGACAAAATCTAATCTATGAAACTATATATTCAGTTTAGGCCTAATTCTATGGTCAATGATAGCTCCTACCTAATATGTCTAGCATAATTCTAGGATAAATCAAATCACCACAATTAAAGGCCGAATGCATATAAGGGAAAATACAAAATTGGTAATGTTATTCATAGTCAGCGACTGCAGTAATCATTCTAACTGACAACTTTTATTAAGACATTAGCTTGTTATTTAATGTAACAGAATTACAAGAAATTGATAACTCAAATAAAAAGCTATCATATAAGATAATTATTGCCATCTTTGATTATGAATAGCATTACTCTATAAGATTACTAGAAATGCAATTTCTTTAGATTAGGAAATTAATATGGCAGATTTTCAATGTTTCTTATATGTCCAAATAAAAATCCATTTATGCAACAAAATTACAGAAAATTAATGTCTTGAATAAAAAGCTGTCATATATGATGACTACTGCAGTCGTTGACTGTGTATAGCATTACTCTACAAGATTACTGGAAATGCAATTTCTTTAGATTAGGAAATTAATATGGCAGAATTTCAACATAAATGTGTTTTGTATATGTCCAAATAAAAATCTATTTATTAGATTCATCACACATAAATTTCATGATGGCAACCAATAAAATAAATCATGTAACTCTAAGAAATATCATGGTATTGATATTGAGAATGAAAATTAATTATCTAAGTTATCGACGACATGGACCAACTCTTACATTAGACCTTCTATGATCTATGGTACTGAGTGTTAGGTTGTTAAAATGACTAAATGTCTATAAAATGAAGTACAATTGATGTTCAAATAGATGCGCGACTTACTAGAACCAGATAATAAGTCAACAAATGGAGTTGCTACTAATTGAGGATAAACCAAGGAAAAGTTGAGTTAGGTGGGTGGGTGTGATATATCTTGCTTAGGCTTCAAAAAGCTTTTGTTTACAACAATGATGCGATCCCAATGAAACTTATTAGATGGGAGATGTAAACCAAAATAAATATGGTCTGTTGTGGTTGTGAAGCATCTGGTTGTATTGGATAGTCTAATAGATTCAGCTATGAACTGAACGGGATGGCATTGATAAAGCTTGATCTGTTGATTTATGGAGGATATTGACCAATTATATAATCTAACTCGTCAATGTGTCCAAATAATTAATAATACGATTTGACGTTTTTATTTTACAATTGACTATGTATATAATGTAATAACTTGGAGGAAATCAATCTTAGTTATACTATTTTCTAAGAAAGGCTTTATATCTGGACCTAGTTCAATGCAATAGAAACTTAAGTTCAAATATCTCATTTTAGCTGCTTATTTAACTTACTCTATCCATAGAGATTGACACACTACAATCTTTAGCAAGCTTCCCTAACTCATCACCTGTTGTGAACAACCAAAAAACGCTACGAGAAAATCATGATTTGTATCTTTAATTTATCAACCTCTCTCTGGGCACTCAATCGTCAAATTGCAATCACCTGCATAGGAATTATAAAAATAAAAATCATTCAAAAGTTAGTTTATTACACAAAGCAACAACTGCTTTCACAGCTCATTCCTAACAAATTTCTCCATGCTGATTCATATTTCTTGATATTTGAACTGTTATGGAACATCTAAAAATAATGAAACCATTATGGCTATGGAATAAACGACCTTCATTCCAAGGTATTTTCACGAGCTGTATTGCTAGATACTGTTATATATGGTGTAGCGCTTGCTAATCTTCTAGTTCATATTTTGCAGAGGGCTAAGGCCACCTTTGAATATACGCCTTGTACTCACATTCATGTTTCTTGGTTTAAGTGGGTAAGTTTAATATCTTCAGTGCTTTTTATGTTATATTTCGATTCTGCAACGCTGCTGATTTATCTTCAGCTTTTTCTTTTACTTGGAATTGGAATAGGATTTTCGCGAACCAGCTTTTGTTTCTTATTGGCCTCGCATACACAAATCCGAGTTATGCTGCAGCTATTCAGCCTGCTATTCCAGTCTTTACATTCATATTGGCTGTGATAATGGGGTCTCTCTCTCTCTCTCTCTCTCTCTCACAGAGTGTATTATCTCACCCCACCCTCATGTGCATGTGAGCGCCTTTTCATGTACATGAGAGTCAGATGCATATTTATTCCTTTTGCAGTACAGAAACAGTGAATTTGCGAAGAATTGATGGTCATGCTAAGGTAGGAGGTACTCTTCTGTGTATTACTGGTGCTATTCTAATGGCTGTATTCCGTGGTCCTGCCTTGTTTGGATATAAGGAATCCGAATTTATAGGGCAAATTGAACTAAGTGTCAAGGCTCAGCCTGAACCTGTTGGGTGGTTATTGCCTAGTTTTCTAGAATTAAGGATCGATGATTGGCAAATTGGTGTTTTATGCTTAATTGGGAACTGCATGTGCATGGCAACTTATCTTTCCATTCAGGTAATTAATATAAATCTTGAAGTTCATAACTTTCTGAGAATCTGTTCCTTTGAAAAACAAAATGTATTTTCTAACTCATCAAGATAATATCCAGTGCTGAATAGACAACGAGACCGTCAAACAGAACAGTCTTTCTACTTTAGTTTGATACAAATTTGATCCCAAGTCCTTATAAAATATCACTCTTTTTGTAATTTTTGATGATGATTTGGTCTGGCTAAACTATCTTTTTACAGATTGAAACTCATCAATCCTGTTTAGTTGAATTGTTAGTGGAGTTAAAATTGAACAAGCTTCTTTCCTTTTCAGTTTAGGATAGAGATTACTGAGCTTTTAGGTTAATGTTCACTGTGTAGTTTCTTATTTTCCATTGACAATGACTTTCACAGGCAAGTGTCCAATTTATTGGTTGGCCTATTTGGTTGGACAAATCTCCTGTTTCAAAGGACGCTTTATTGTTTTTAAGATGTTACACCATACATCTATAGTTTTTCTTTCTTCACATCATTACCTTCCACAGGCCACCGTTTTCAGTTTAATTCCCTTTTCTTCTTTCTATCTTTTGCTTCTGTAAGTTTTATTGAACAGTTTCAAAACATTGAAGTAGCTCTATGTCGGAATAGCTTTCAATTTCTATGCTTTTACTTTTTTGAACTTTCATTTCTGCACCCTAAATTTGTGTTCCGAATGATTGTTGACTCCTTAAACCTAAACTGGTATTTTATATTTCCAGTTTACCATAATTTGGATGTGATTTTACCAGTTGTTTTGGATTTACTGAACATCTATCATTTCCCCCAAGACAATATAGGCCTGCCGCTTCATTTTTGGTTATTTGTATATTTTCATGATCTAATAGCTAAACTGTGGTGTTTCTAGAGCTTTACCTTTCCGTTCTTAAATATGTTTCAGGCTCCACTTTTAACCAAGTATCCTGCAAGCATATCCGTGACAGCATATTCATACTTCTTTGGCGTTCTGTTTATGGCGGTGACTGCATTCTTTATGACAAATGAGTCCAGTGACTGGAATTTGACACGATCTGCAGTCTTTGCAGTGTCCTATGCTGTAAGTTACATTTTCTTTTAGAAAAGCAAGGAAGTTCATTATAAAAATCTTTTGCTATTTTTCTGAAACAGAAACTATTCGATTTTAGAGAACAAGTTGAGGTGCTGAGTGTTAAACAACCGATGAACAAAATTCCATAATGTAGTGGAAACAAAATTATTTATGGTGCATGTGTGAGCATAATAAACCAAATAGAAAAAGAAATGAGAATCTATGCTTATTAAATAAATTATGTTTCCAAAATTTTATTCATTTTTCTTTTTGTAACATTATCTCACATTCTCACTATCGAGATGAATTTGTTATTTTCTACGGTTTCATTTCCTTTCAGTTTAGTAGAAAGCAGTGACTTGATGCTTCCCGGAATTTGAATTTATTACTTTTAAGAGGAGGTAGAAAAATTAAGTTGGGATTTTGTAAAATTTTTAAAATATAGCACTTCTGATGGTGGAAATAGAAGGAGTTTGAAATCATGTGGTGCTAGATCCTTGGTGCCTATTGTACGGCATCTGGTTAGAGAAAAAATTCACATATAATCTTATTTCAGAACCAACACGTGTGTTCATATTTTTTCTCCAGTTTTACTTAGAATCTTCTTGTCTGTGTTGGAGACTCCTTCTAAAGCACTTGGGTAGGTTGATAATTGAGTTTATATTTACTTCGCTTGTGTTCAATGAAGTGAATTACTTAAGAATTCATTGTCTCTTTTTAATTTTCTTTACAGGGAATCATAGCATCTGCTCTGAGCTATGGGCTTTTGACGTGGTCAAATAAGATTTTAGGCCCTGCTTTGGTCGCCTTGTATATGCCACTTCAACCTGTTTTCTCGTCATTGCTGTCAGGAATATTCCTTGGAAGTCCTATTTATTTGGGAAGGTTACACTCTTCAAGAATTTCCTTAATTCATCTGTGTTCACTTTTGGTTTAAGGTGTTAGCTTTGAGCCTATTCATTTTTAGGATTTATCACGCACCTATGCTCTGCAAGTCTGCTCTTCCATGTTCAATCAATAACTCTACACTACTATAGTGGCTCATTTAGTAACAAGGATTAGATAGCATTGGATGGTATTAAAAGAAAACACTAAAATCTTGTTTATTATACCGTCCAGTACTCCTTGCCTAACGTACACTTTTTCTGTTTTCTTTTTTTAATCAAAGATAACCCTTTATCCACACATTCTTGTGAACAGCATTTTGGGAGGACTTCTTATTATTGCTGGGCTTTATTTGGTTACATGGGCGTCCCACAGAGAAAGAAAGGCGGTCATGGAAATTCTCCCCGATGCTGCTCAGCCATCAGAACCGCTTATTAATAAAGACTCGGTGGTGTTAGAGTAATTCGATATTTAAGGTATTGTGATTTGAGTTGGTGGTTGTGCCGCGTGTTTATATATAAGACCGTTCCAGTGAAGTATTTCTCCATTATTAGAGATCGCTATATCTGTTTAGATTATTTAAACAGTCCCCAAAGGGTTTCTATGTTTTATTACGTTGATCACAAATTTATATAAGCATTATAATATATATATTTGTTTCTTTGGCAATTCATGTAGTTTCATTAATTCAAAATGCCACAAACAAAAGACTAAAGAAACTGGGGAAATATAAGGGCCGTTCTCTTTGTGTTTCAGTTTTCTGTTTTGAGTTTTGAAATCGTTTTGTGTTTTGTGTTTTGAGTGTCCGTTTTGAAATTGCTGAAAATGCGTTCTGTTTGTTGTTTTGGAACATTATTTCTGAAAACATAAAACTAGAAAACGCATTTACTTTGAAATTTTGAGAAATTTTTTTTATAATATTTTATTCAAAAAATCTGATTATTCA